CTCCGGCTATGTTTGCAGCTCCTTTTTGTAGGCAGACCTGCACTCATCTTATTTGTGCTCATAGTTACTGGATGCTAGCCAGCTCCAACCCAGAGGCACTGTTCTCATGCTAATTTGGCAAGCCCTGCTCACAGCACAGCACTGGGGTAAAGAAGTTGCATGGCTTTTAGGTCAGACCTTTCTTACATTCAGCTGCCCTGAAGCAAAGAGATAGAGCACAGGGCTGTGTAGATAGGCTGTATCCTACAACAGGGTAAATGTCCACAGCTTTTCCAGAAGCCCTTAAAATGGCAATATCTCCAGTTTGGAAGACAAATAAGGCACAGGGAAGCAAAGCCTTCTTTTGAAGGATCTGGTAGACAAGGTATACAAAGCCTGGAAGGAAAGAGCTTCTCCCCTGTTTTACAGGGATGAACACTAGCTATTTGCCCAAGGTCAGCAAATCTGTCAGAGCCAAGCTTTAAGCTCAAGTTTCTCGCAGCCCAGCCCACAGCCTTAGCTATCTGCTTGGTTTTCTTTTCTACACTTGGTCTTGCAGTCACTGTTATCTCTAACAGGCCAAGCCACTTCAGTTTTTATCATCACTAGAAATCCTATAATAATACTCTTGCATTTTTGTTGTAACAAGTCATTACCATGAAAATACATTGTTAGGAGAATATAATCTACCAGAGCTTTTTTCATATTCATTGCTGCATGTGATTATTAGCATGAAGGAAACAAAGCACAAAGAGAAAGCTCAGATATTCCTGGAAACACACTAGCAAGGGAACTCCTGCAGGGCACTAACCCATAATGAAACCTTCATTCGTTGTCTCTGCAGGAGAAGGTAGATGCTCCTTGCTGGAGTTTTCTCCTCCTACAGAGGAGTCTTCTGTGGAAAAAAGTCACAGTAGCAATTCCTTGACCCCACCCTTATTATAAGCCCTCTTTTTTTCCTGGGACTGTACATAACTAAACAAACTATTTCTTATCTCATTCCTCTGCATACCAGGAGCCAGACTCTTCAACAGTAAGAGACAGTGGTGGTCCAAGCCACCCTTGAATGAATTATCACTCGCACTGACAGTCACCACATCTCTGCTGAGGAGGCAGAAGAGAACGTCTAACAGGAGGCAACATCTAGAACAACTGTAGCCATTTCAGAAGTGAACCTGCAATTCCATACTGTTATGATACAGACTTTATATTGATACCTCACAATAAATTTCACTCTTGGGAAGAGTGAAACTTCTTTCCCCTTCTCTGCAAGGGCTGAATATTCACCAAGGGTTATGTTTAAGAACACAAGAACTACTAGCAGCAGCTATACTCAAGGTGCAGCTAGCCTGCATCCTGCCTTAAACAATGGCCAAGAGCATATAGAGCAGGGCAAGTATGCAATGTGACCTTTCCAGTGACTTCCTGAAGTGACTCACTGACTTCTTCAAGCAGAGATAACATCTTTGTACTGACTAGCACTTGACAGATCTTTACTTTGCATGTACTTTAACACATACTTCATCTAGTTCCATGCTTTCACTTAGCTCTTGCAATAGAGGAAACAGTGAATAATTGTTACCTACCGATATCTCCATGCCTCAAATCTTACTTATTTCTACTATATCAGCCCTCCAAAGTCATCTAGTTGCCATTTACCAGGCATCTTCCCACCTGTCCAGCCTTCTCCATTACCCTTGGCCTTTATAAGGCAAGGCTAGCTCAGTACCACTGGGGTAGTGCTCAGCACCTTGCTGGACAACGGTGTAAACTTAGAAGCTTTAAACTTGAAAGTCTGCATGGGGCATCAAAAGGGCAGGCTAGCTTGTGATGCGGATGGCCGTGCCCTAGGAATGCAGACATACTGTACAGAACCCCCCTTGTCAAACACTATTTTCCAGACTTTGATCAGTCACTGAAACCTTATCTTACTTGAATCATCCTCAAAAACGCTCTACAGTTTTCCTTCTGCCCTCACACATCTCATAACACAGGCAGGTTTGAAACAAGTAAATGGGCACGGAATAGGTGCAAATTTATGAGAAGAAATGTGAGACTATATCTAACACCTCAGGAATTAACACTAGCCATCAAAAGCTGAAAGATGACTGTCAATAGCTGAAGTTTAAAACACAATACAGAGCAGTAACAGCTGAATCAGATCTAAAGAAGGAAACCCATGTGTGAGCAGTTTACATGAGCACCTGAAGATGTGCTATGTTATTGTCTGGGTTTATCTATGCATGCTTCCTTGGTTCACATATGTGCAGAAATGTGCATGACAAGCATCCTTAATTAGAAGGAGATATTTAGCCATGGCAGAACATGCCTAGGCTGTCACTTGAGGCATCAATGATTTTCCCGGTTTTCAAAAAAACACACAAATGCTCATGCCAATATGAAATAGATTTTTAGCCACAGCTGCTATTATCTTTTGGTTTACCACTAATGATGTTCTTGGCATGTTGTGCAACCTAATACAAGCATCATTCTGGCTTTAATCTAGACATACAACTGAGGTAGTGGCCTGGAGAAGCAAGGCTAGTTCTTCCACTGTCCTCTTGGAAAGGCACAGGATTTGCACTCTAACAAGTGTCTCAGGCCTCACATAACTGCCCCCACAAAATACTTGGCAAAAACATGACCTGCCAGGTCATGCTAGCCTAGCTAGACAATAATATTGTAATAAAGGGATGATTTTAGTTTCATCATCGCAGTCTTTTTAATGGCAAGGTAACCTTCCATCAGCACTTAGGACACGAGCCTTGTCCTTTTAAGGAAGTCCACAGCATACACATAGCAAAGGTATTGCATAGATTGGAGCTGTTTGAAACCCTGCATCTCTAATCCTGTTTCCTACCACTGGCCCATACCTATAACAATCCAGAAAACAAAGCTATCACAGCCAGAATGAAAAATAAGGCTGCAAACAAGCTGCAGGACTCTTCTCCTTCCAGGTGTACCATGTCCCCCTGTCTGAAAAGCATAGTAGCTCTTCTTTTCTCCCCTTTCATTGTCTCTTCTCCTCTTCTCTCAGGGGTAAAAACTGCAGCTAGCACTTCAAGCATTTGCACCCCCAGTTCCCTGAGGTTCTGCATACTTCCCTCTCATGTGCACTTCCAACACCAAGACAGACAGCCCTCTGCACCTGCATGCAATAGCCGCTCCATCATGTACGCACCTCCTGTAACACTGGTGCCCCCCCCACCACACACACTGTCCTTCACTGCAGTATGCACACAAATACCCTCTTCTGCTGCTGAAGGCTGACCTTGAAAATGGCCTTTTGTGTCCAAGAAAAATTATATGCACAAGCACACATACATATATCCCCAGGCTCCTATTTTAAAATCAAAACAGCTATGCACAGCAGGTATATCGCTACCCTCCATCAGCAACAGCACCACAGCTCAACCGTTGGGCAGACACACAAGACACACACTGGGTACTGACGTATGCTCCACATGGTATCCTCCACCAATGAACACAGGCACACGCTGCCTCAGCTGGCAGGAGTGCCAAACAAACAAAACAAGCTGGCCATAAACTCATGGATCTCTATGCCTACGCATTTGTTTGTGGCAGTCAGCAACGCTGTTTATCTATCCTAACCAGATGAGTTCAGCACAGATATATTGCATCTGTGGGTTCTGTTTTTTCTCTGCCCCTCTCCATCCAAATTTATTGCCATGCCTAGAAAAATATAGGTGGAATGATGTCTCTGCCACTTTTCCCCAGAACGTAAGAAAATGAGAACTCACTTTAGCTGTAACACAACCCTATCATAGATGTTTCCCACCCAATTGCTGACTCTCACCACCTGCCAAACACAAGCTGGTTTCCAAAGGCTGAATTCTGAGTCTCAAAGGCTAAATACTGGCTGTCAGTGGGAGGACTGCAGGAAGACAGATGCCAACATGTATTCTTTACAGCTCCCATGTTTACAGGTTGGCTCAGTAATGTTTTCTGCCATAACCAATCCTCATTTAGATCGTAATTTCACATCACGCACCACCATATACAACCAATATATCACAATCACAGAAAGAACAAATTAGAAGATGCAACGGCCATAAATGCCATGGTCTTGTTAATGCAGGGTTCTTCCTTCCAGACCACAATCCAACATTTTAAATCTCCTGAGCAACTGGGTAGCCACAGACCACCCTGAAAAAACTGCTCCACAGACTTTTAATCCCATTTTCAGTATGATCCATGCCTTCTTAATTTATCCAGCTATCTCCTAGAACCTGCCAACCTTTTCCCCCCTCATTGTGCTCTGCAACTTGAAATTTCATTTTGGCAATAAAAAAACATCTACAACTGGGTGCAGTATAGAGCTACAGAGGGAAACTGCTACTTTTCTGCAGTCTAGAGCTGCAGCTGCATTTTGTTGGAGTTTGCAGCCATAACTGCCTGGAAAGCCACATCTATTTTAACATAAGCTAGTCCAGTGATTCCCCCTCACCCCCCATTGCTGATTACCTTCAAATGTATTTTTCCAAGATACATGACCAAGCAATTTTTAATGGCATTACTCTGTATCCTTAATTTAAGTCTTATTTCTGTCCTGCTTAGTATTTGCAGTAAGAAAATACTTTGCCTTTCCTCCTTTAGGTTACTAATGAAAATATTCAATGAAATGTTATAGCAGTCTCCTCAGGACTCCAATTTAATTCTGTTGAAAATTCAATAGACTCAAAGTCATATGTTCCCTTTGTTTTCCATCCATTCCAAGCCAGTTCCTTTATTTCATTATCTTCCAAGAAATCATTGCTACTTATACAAAGCAAAGATTTCACTTTCCTGAAGTTTTACATGTCCAACGAACAAATGAAATGCAAAGACCATTCAAGTTTTTTTTTCCTCTCCCCCTGTGAAAGGGAGCTTAAAACAGGAGAAAGCTTTCTGCAAGGATTCAATTGTATCACATCTCTTGCATTCTGCACACTCCAAAAGTAACCCCTGAGCTAAGCAAAACACAAAGTATCTGTGGTTTATTTAGAAGGATTAGGTCTTACCTTTTCACCTTTTTCTCCTCTGCCATATGCTCTGCCCTAGAAAGAAAGGGGAAGGTACATTTGATAGCAAGGATGTCAAACTATGCTGTAAATAGATATACATCTGTGTGTGAGATATAAGCACAAATTACAGGGCAGCTTATTTAGGGTAAGTAACATTCCTTGGCCATAACTTCTTGATAATAAATCAGTGATGAATTGAAATGCAGAACTCATTCCCCAGTTCTCCCACTCCAGCCCCAGAAAAGTGGCTTATATTATACTTGCTCCAGAACAGAGAATGTCTCCAAAAAAAAGTCAAAGGTGCCAACAACTCTGAGACTGCATTTTAAAAAGGGTTAAAGATGTTCTTGCCTAAAAATCTGGTCTGGCATTTGCATTAGTTGCAGCTGCAGAAAGCCAGATCCCACTCATCCAAATGTAAGAGAGTTGAGAAACTTGCACTTTCTTTGTGTGCAACTGCCTTGTACTGCCCCCATTCAATGGGCAGCTGCGCTAAAAGAGCCAAGCGCATCCAAGTCACATATTTTAATTAAAAGGTCAATACTAAGCCAGTTAGCTGAATTCAGGGATGAACCCATCCATTCCCCTCTCTCCAAGAGAGGCTGTTGGGCACCAGAAAGATCAACTTCTCCCTGGGACAGAGCCCCAGCAAAGGGAGCGTTTTCAACAAGTCACATGGCTCAGTGTATCAGAGAAAATAACTACATGGTTTTCCAATTCTGTTTGGGAAATCATTCTGATATTTCTTACTTACTGACTCTCCTTTTTCTCCTCGGAGCCCAGGAAGTCCTTGGCTGCCGCTTTCTCCCTTGAAGAAGAAAGAATGTTGATACCACAGAGATAATTCATCTTTTGACAGGCAGGAAGATAGCAGGTAAGATCTCCTCTTAGCCCTCCCCCTTGCTCACTTGAGAGCTGTTCCACATTAGTCTTTGTATTTTGTTATCAGCTTGTGGTTGCCTTGTTTTCTTTGTAAAGTGCAACAAGGCTTTGGCTGAGATTATGGACATTTTTGTTCCCACCAGTCTCTATTGACAAGAGTCCAGACCCTACCAAGGTTCTGTGGACTCCACTGCATTTATACTGACTTTAACATCCAGATTTTTAAAGATTTTACACTTCATTTTTATTTTTAAATACTGCTAGAATCCCACAATGGGCACTAACAAGGCAAAGAGCTCTCTCTTCTGGGGGTACTTCAACATACTTTCTTTTCCCTTAACCCACAAAAAGACTACCTACATTGGAGAGTGGTTTGCATAAGACATGGAGGGTACAAACCTAAAATATGGAAAAAATCTGAACATTCAAGATTTCTACATTTCCAGTTTCAAAAAATATTCTTTTCATTTGTGCTAGATTTTCATGGTTGGCTGACTCCTTCCTCCTCTAGGACAAACGTGCAATACAGTCACTCTCCCTACTTGTTCAAATGGAAGGGAAGAAAACATGGAAAAAAACAATTGAAAAATATGTAAATAATTATGGGGAAAGGAATGAAGACTGGAGATGTAAATACATAGGAGGAAATGAGAAAAATTATCAGATAAAACCCAGCCTTTTTCCTCACTCTGTTCCTAGGAAAAAAAGAATAGTTTTTAAGTCAAGGGAAAGGGATAGAAAGCCAAGGAAGATGTAGCTCTGCAGCTGATAGATACTTATCAAATGGTACAAGTTGCACCAAAAATGGCAAGTACAAGAATACTTGCAAATCATTGGCAAGTTTTATTCCACAGTTGCAATACTGGAAGAGGGGTCAGCTGAGGATACATCCCCTACCCCCCCAGCTAAAAACAACTGAAAGCTATCCTCAGCCTTATTAGCAGATCCTTGGATTCCTATAGCACCAGAAGCTGCTGGGAGGTGGACTACTCTGTCTGTGTGCCCCTATTTCACTCCCTCCTGCTCCTAACACAAAAGGAATAGATCAGAAATAGACTGTGCTGAGCTCCCCATCCATCACTAACAAATACTATGTCACTGTTCTTCGTACTTTCCTCACCTGTTTGAGCCTTCTATTGTCTTCTGTTTATAGTGACTTTAAGTGCTTTGGACCTCAAACTTTTAGTTTGGTACGGACACAATATCTAGCTGCAAGAGTCCCAGACCTGCAGCAGGACTCCTAAAGCACCAAAGCATCAGCACATTCAATGATCCCTGCACTCCCCAAGTCTCCCTCACACAGGCTGTAGTAGGTTTTAATTTTACGGCTAAATTCAGTTTGTCCTGATATACACCCATAAAACATACTTACCAACATGAGATGCTCAGCTTTTTGTCAAGATCATGCCTTCTTTATCCTTGATAAGGCAGACTTAAAAATACACAGGGAAAAATGAAGGTCTCTTTGCTTAACCTTTAGCTTTTTTGTCACAGGGAAAAAACTTCACAAGACAAGTGACACATGCAAAGCTAATGTCACAGTCAATTCTAGTAGGCTGTGGCAAAGTTCACAGACAGTTTTATACAGCTGTCTTTTAGGTCCCTTAAGAGAAGGCAAAACTCCTTTCCAATTTCGAGGGTGGGGGGGGACTATCCCACTAGAGCATGTCTAATACTAGCCTTCACAAACTTCCCAAAAGCAGGTAAGCAACATCATTTCTATGATTCTGATGGGAAGCAATTTTTCAGAGAAGCAATTTTTCCCTAAACTCAGAGCGCAGATTGATAGCAGTGCTGGAACAAGGCAGAAGCTTGCTAACTCTGTCCAAAGCCCTACCAACTAGCATGGCTGCCTCCAAACACAGCAAGCATGATGTTCATTGAAGAAAAATAAATGACACAAGACTGCTATGTTGTTAGTATCTAATATTTATCAATAGGACCCAGCTTCAGGCACATTTGCCGGTTCTTCCCAGGCTACTTCCTGCTTCACTTTTCCCCCCCAATAGCTTTCTTCATTGTATCTCCTTCCAAAATGTGTATGCTGTGTCACAATACATTACCCTCAGTTTGGCTACATAGATGATTGAGGCACAGAGATTCATCTCTGGAGGCTTTTTCCCTCTTTTTAGAGACTATTTTACCCTGGGTTTGGAGATTTAAATTAGAGAGCAATAGAAACTTGTTACCTTCCCACACAGTATATATGCTTGGAAAATTTTTGCAAGTCAGATAGTACCATAGGAACAGCTTGTCCAAACTTCCCCCCTCTAAAAGGGAAGTGTTACTGGACCTCTGGATATTAGAGCCTGTAGGCTAGTCTCTATCTTCAGTCCCAGAAAAATAAAGCAGCTATGGCAGTCATCTAACAGATCTTCCAATTGACCTTTTTAAAAAAAGGAAAAGCCACACTGGTAGGCATTGTTCATCCCTTGGATAAGGGGGAAGTCAGTCGTCATCTATTGCTAGTTTAGTGGGGGCAGGGAGAACCCAGCTTTTTTGGACTACAGAAGGAGCTTCACAGTCCTCCTTCCTTTTCAACCTCCCTAGAGGTTTCTTAGTTGACCTGTGTCCCCATTTATATCTTCTGGGGGGACTCATTTCTGACTTTTACCAGCTGCATGCTATTTTTCCTAATTCAGCTGCACCAGCTGCTTTCCTAGATTCTTAGAGGGCCATACAGCCCCTTACAGACTATTTCTCAGTATCAGCCTGTAAAACATTCTTGGGTAATGCTCAAGTACCTACAGCCTTCCTAAATATCTCTTGGGTCCCAATTATTTAGAGGCAGACCTCAACTTTGCAATTTATCCTGAACAAGAGACATGCAGTAGTGAAAGCATCTATAGCAAAAAGCATGACTTCTGACTCAGAGTCCTGAAGTCACTCAGTTTCCACCTTTTTCTGATAATTTCTTTCCTCATTCATTAATTTACTCCCACCTCTCTGCCTAGTCAGCTAATACTTGGGCCTTTCTTATGCTGCACTCCCTTGCTAGCATGTTTTAATCAAACCTCATGAGTTTAGTGGACAACTTATGATGTATTTTGAGCATTTATTGAAGGCCTAGCTCTCAGATTCATGTACCAAGTGAAAATCCTTAATTTTTTTTTAAAGCTTGAAAAAGGTTCTACAACACTCATTATACACACAAAATTTAAAATACAACCCTCGAACCTTAGAAAGGAGGAGACAAGTTAGAAGCCAGTCTCATTTTTGTGGGGCTGTAGTCTTTCCTTAGCTAAGTACCAGCTCCTAACACTGGGGAGTCAAACAGCTTCTGCTTTTCTCCTCACAGCCACTGTTTCAGCCTGGGTAGCTCATTAATGCTTCAGTGATAGGGAAGAGGGACAAGACAGTAGTCCCTGCATGTGGAATAGGGCTCTGACAATCAGCAATAGCTATGTGAGAACTACTATCAAGGGCTTTATATATTAATCACAACATCTTTGCTACTCAGGAATCAAGTCTATTACTTGCCTTATTTAGCAGATAGAGAAGCTAAGTTGTTTGTTTCAGTCAGCAGCCGTTTGTACCAAATTAGTGTCAGAGCCTGGATTTAAACTGCATCTTCTCCAGCTACCAGAGACTGGGGCACAGTCCTACCTTGGCTTTATAAAAAGGTCATGGACAACTAGAGCCAGTGAAGAGTCACACATAGATCTGCAGAGCCATTCAGTCACCTACCTGCAAGGCTGGTACAGCCACGAGCATCAGGATTTGGTATTTAACCAAAGGCTACCTAAGGCACTCAGGAACCAGGAACCCCCCTAACTGTCCAGATAGCTACAGAGCTGGACTGTACATTGATTAGACCTTAATTCTGCACTTTGAGATACATCATTACACATCCCACTAACCTGCTCAGCACTGTGCCATGTTGTGCAACAGACACCCTTGCCAGCACATAGACCTTGTCAAGTCAAAGACAGAAGCTGCTGCACAGTGCTTTTATTATAAGCATCATCGTCCTTCTGCAACCTCCTCACAATCTCTCAGTTTTGTGATTCTTCAAAATAGCCCCTCATTACTTCAGCTGTCACAGATTAAAATAGAAGTTTGCTATTTATATACACATGGAAGCATAGAGAAATGCTTTCTGCAGTTTCAGGCAAGCACATCTCAGTGCTAATGGGCCCATGTTCGTTACTGCTAGCAAAAACTATACTCCAAAACACATCTCCTCATAATCCCAAAATTCTCCCTACAGATAGTAGAGCAAGCTTTGTCAAAAAAAGCCAGTGCTGACAGCGTCTGACCTTCCACAACCCAGGGACTTCTCCTTTCTCCCAGTGTTTCAAAATAAATGTCCTCCTGCCTCTTAAAAAAAACCCCCCAAAAAAAAGAAGCAGGGAAAATTACTTTATTCACCAAACAAATATGAATTTAGCAATTGATAAACCTTGACTGAATCTGCAGAAGCGTTTCAGATGGAAACAGCTCCAAGCTGAGATTGTTCCCCAATGTTTTATCACATAACTGATGAAACTGAGAAGCATGGAAATCACCAGCTTTCACCTCTCCAACAATGCAGTGAATCGCATTTTTCTTCCAGTACAGCTGCTCCCCTCCAAGTCAATTGTCCCCCCAGCTCTAATTGTAACCAAGCACAGAAGGGAAACACATGTATGTTTATGCATGTGCATATCAGAGGCACTTACACAATATGCATTATAATATAGAAACTGAAATTTGAGGCAGATATCACAATCACTCTCCTGGCCTGTTATCTAGGGAGAAACATACAGAGGAAAGTGGCCTTAACATCAGCTCAATGACTCATACAGCTTTGCTCAGGCTAACACAGTATGGGCTAACTCTTTACCTCAGTCTCAGTAAGTTTTGTAAGAGGTAACTGGGAGGTTGCTAGCTAACCTACAGCTAACCAGTACCCCTGAGCACAGCACAGCCCAAAAGCAGCACATGGGTTTCTAGGGTACTCATCATGAAAGTTATACCTAACCTAGCAAATAAAACTAGCTTGCAGAAAAGCCTAATTAGAAGATCAAAGGAAAAGGTTTCAGAACAAACTCATTCTAAAAATAACAAGGTTGCAACAGTGAAACTCAAATGCAAGCCTAGAGAAAAAAATACAAGCAGGATAGTCCAACACAGTCTTTCAGGGTCATTCAAAAGTATATGAACTCACTTATAATGCTAAAGTGACTCTTGTTTCTTCCAACTCTTCAGCTTACTCAACAGCCAAAACTCTTAATTTATTTTTGTTATTAAACAGATCAACTAGTACATACTACTGACCTTTTGACCTCTAGGACCTTCAGGACCAACTTGACCTCTCTCCCCCTAAAGAGAAAAAAAAAAAAACCACACAATTAGTCAGATTGATCTTCTTATCATATAATAAAGCAAGTGACCCAATCCCACACTCACTGAGACTCTCTATTTTTAATAGAGAGCAGATTAAAAAAGACATGCCCTCAAGAACAATGACAGCAAAGCCCCAGCCACAAACAACATACACAAGACCCCTACTTTTAAAGGCCATGAAATGTGGCTATATTTACCTCCAGAAGCTCCTCCTACTTATTCTAAGCAGGATGCACACACCTGGGATGGGTAAAAATAACCGCCCTGTTTTCAGGGTTGCTTCCATGACTATCAGCATGGCAAAAAGCACTGAATTAGGTAAAAAGAAAACACCTGGGAACACTACTATTTCCTCCGCAGACATGCCACCTGTGGATAACACAACGCCTGCCTCTTACTACAGCGCTTTCCACTAACAGGTCTTAAAATGCTTCACAAACAAAACAGCCCTTCTTACAACTCACTCACACGACATCGTACCTCTATTTCCATATCCATCCAGCAGTCCTCAAAGGAAATACGTTCATCTCAACTCTCACCTTTTCTCCAGCTGGACAGGAGCAATTGACAGTCTTGAGGTGGCCAACTTGTTCATTGCCAACAGTGGGCCTCGCTTCGAGGTGTGGTGCTTCCGTCAGGACTGTGACCTGGCACTGCACCCAAACGTTCAAGGTCATTACGAAGCCTTCAATGCTACAAGCCCAGCTTTCTCTTTTACTCGCTTTAGAGAAACCGCATTGGCATTACTGCATAATGTATAGCTAAACATGTTGTATTGAGGAATGAAATCCAGCAAAAGTCATTCATTCAAACAATTCAAACATTCAAACAATAGGGAAAAAGATGATAAGCAATGAATCTTTTCAACCAGGATCTAGGGGAAAGGAAAGAAAGGAGGGTAGAAGTGTCTGCTGAGAGCATAGGAAACTAAGCAGCAACTGGTATCATTTTAGCTCTTCCCAAATAAAAAGCTGGGAAGCACGCTGAGTATTTCATGCTGAATTTCTGTTGTTCTGTCATCACTTCAGGGTTTGTTTCCCCTGACAGCTTGACAAGGAAAAAGGGTTTGGAAATTTCTAATTCCTCATACTTATCTCTTCAGTGTGGTCATCTTCTGGCATTGCTGCATTACCAACTGTATAGTTAGGACTCATTCACCATCATAAAAATGACAAACCCACACTGTCACATCCCCTGATTTGTGTAATGGATTTCAATGAAGAGTGTTCATGTGAAAATGAATTACTAACAAGAAGAAGCTTACTGGTCCAGAAGGAATGTCACAGCAGGTTTCCAGCTCAGCATGTCGAGAATCACAGTAAATAACCATCCGCTGAAGATCAAACTAGAAGACAAAGTGAGACAATAGTCTCAGATACAGTGAATTATGAAAGACTTCATGACTTCATGTCTTTTTGTTTGGCTACAAACAGTGCCGAGGAATACAAATAAAAGCCAGATGGAGCTAGATTCATAGTGATTCTGTGGATCCTGAAGTCAATATCTATTCCTGTCTATCAATAATGGACCAATATCTCAGCATGCTCCACTGAGCTCATGAGACCTCGAACATGCCTATTAAAATTCTGATGCAGCTTTTCATATAAATAAGGAAGAAGGCTAACCTCTGTGTCCTAGCCAAATTCCTGTCTGAGAAGACATATTTTGCCCACCTACGTTCTTTCTAAAATTTCGTCGAGGCATAAGGTTTGTTTTTCTCCTGTTGTGCCCTGTGACCATTTACCCCTGTGTGAGAAATGCTATTACCACCTTTAATATGCACGTTCCATCTATCTTGTGCAACTAAGAAAGATTATCCAAGTCTCAAAACACCACACAATCATGTATTTTATAACTCCCATACAGTTATACCAGGTTAGCAGTGCTACCAGGCAATCCAGGTTGATGTGCAGGTCTCAACTTTTAGGTTAAGATCAACGAGTGATTTAATATCAGGTATATTTTCTGAGAAATTGAGACTATATCATGACTCTTCTGAGTTAACGAGGTTTCTTTTTTTTTTCCCATCTGTCACTACCACATGTGAAAACCTTCGCAGTGTCAAGATCAGACAGGAAAAGACCTTTACATGTCTATTTCAGTACTCAGTTCGATGATATTTGTGGATGACTTTGTCTCTGGCTTTAACGATAACACATTCTGGGACTACACTGAAAGATCAGAAAGATTAAAGAGATTTCTCCTTTTTAACCTCTATTACAGAGATAGCAACACTTCCATATAAAATGACAGTAAGTCTTGTATATGATGAGATGCCAGCCTCTCACCTACATAATGAATACAACATTTCAGTAGGTGATGCTGCCTAAGAAAAGGTGTAATTACAACATCACACTTAACAAAACCCATTCAGATGCTGCAAGCCCAGCCCTGAACATTACCCCAGCTCTAATCAGCACACACAGTACTTACGTCAATGGGAACGCTATCATACAAGCGTTTGCCAATCACAGTCTTTCCTTGAATGTCGATATTTTCCCTGTCTTCAATAGGCAGTGTCTGCACCAGTCTGCAGTCTATGTAAAGGGCAACAGTCTCTGACTGAATGCTGAGGGCGATTTTATGCCAGCTGCGGTCAAAAAGATCACTGACTCGAGTGTTTCGAAAGACCACTCTCACAGCGTCCTTGGTGAGCCCTATGGCGTTGTACTCCACTGCCTTGTTCTCTCCGTCCAGTCGGATTGAGACCTGCGAACAGGCAGAAATGACTTTGCTAATAAAGTGCACAGCCTCATCATCCTTTCTTATTGCCTGTCTTCATTCTGGACTGACTCCCCAGATGACACCCCAAAGCTGGGGATAGTATAGGACATGATAAGGAGATGTCCTGGCAAAGAGCAGAGCGCGCACTTGCTGGTGATATATGAAGTGAGATAGTGAGCCTATACCTGTTCTAGTAAACAAGACGGGTCAGGACATTGGCTCGGGCACAGATTCATGATCATCCAAAGTCTTCCCTTGTGAGCATACGCCATGGCATGGTTTCAGCCCACATCACCTTGATGCCTCCCAGATAGTACTTGGGCATTGATGGGTGGTAGCACATACCAGGGGCCTCTCCCAAAAGGCAGTATAGGCAAAGCTAAGCCTACTTAGGATCCCTGTAGCCTGTGCAATTCTCCATCACTTCCCAGTAGGCTCCATGCTCTTTAGTGACCCTCACAAGTCCTCATCCATCCACTGGAGCACGCACACATCCCTCATTTCTTGGTATGAAAACATTCTGCTGGGCTGCAACATTGCTCACACATTATTTCAGATGCTTTGAACTGAAAACCTAAACACACAATAATAATTATGCTTTAGGCCCAGAAGAGACCTAGGGCTGTGTTATACAATGTGGACACAGCCAGGCATGCCACTTACTGTCAGTGCCAAAGAATCGCTCCTTCTAATTTGGTTAATCACAAATAGAAGAGGTGAGGCACAGGGATACATAAAAGCTGGAACAGTTAAGATGGCCTCAACAGTCTTTCTTCCTGACTACAGTAATCAAACATAGCTCATGAGAAATGAAATCCTAAGTGTCCACTCTCAAATAAAACATTTTCAAAAAAAGTGAAAAAAGTCCTTTTTAATCCTATATTAAATATTGTCACTCTACTTTGTCACTGCAGAATTCATATCTTACCTCTTCCTCCCTCTTCCTCCCTCTACCTGTCTTTCTTCACCCACAACCCATTCCTAACAACATCTTGCTACCTAACCTTGTGTTTGCAAGCTACGCAGCAGGCAGAAATTGGCTTCTGAAGACGTTATCCCTTAGTTCATTTACAAATTGATTTCCTCTTTTAGGAAAGTAACGCAGCAGCAGGAACTGGAGCACAGAGCAGAGACTGTGCAACAAACAGTGCGCCAGCTAGCTGCACAGCTGGGAGAGGTTTGGTCACATTGGCACAGAGCTGGGTCTGACATAACTAGCCCAGGGTAGGCTGCCTCCAGATCTGACCCTGCATCTACATGCAGCAGAGCACTGCGCTGTCTGGAAATGTCAGTTCAGATCAGTGCTAGCTCAGAAGTCTCTTCAGTCTGCAGGCCAGGTAGGTCTGCAAACATGTAATGGCCAAAGTGCTACTGACTTTAAATGAAGCAAGGCTCTTGAGGCTCTAGGATACTTCTGATACCACAATTTAAGGCACTTTTCAATATATTACGGAGAGTCTTGAGTGCTTTTTTCTTTCCACACTTAAGGGATTCAAGTATTTAGCTGTCTCCATGAAATAATTAGCGGTTCATACATTCTTACTGTGCAGGATTAGGAATGCATGTAGCACAGCAAATTACATTTCTTTTAGGAAAGTGCAGCTGATAATTTATCAAAATATTTTTCAGACTAGGCTTTTATCATTGTCTGAGCCTCAGTTAGCTAGGTCCTCATATTGCACCCACCCTTCATGCTGTGACTTCCCAGAGCATCAGTCCCAAAGCAGCAATAGTGCATAACATGGCTAAGTCATCTCATGCTGATAGTCCGGTTTAGAGCCATGGGTAATGCTGTAAGCACCATGTTTATACTAGGCAGCAAAACACACAGTCAAACCAAACCACCCTTCTCTCCCAACACACACAAACCCTTAAACTATAGCATGCTGCGAACAATACTATATAGGAACAGATAGACCTTTACTGCACTGCCATGGTATTTTACTTCTGAGAACCTGAGGGTACTTTAAAAATATTATTGGATCAAATTCTGCAACGCGCAGGACTTAGAGTTATAACAGTTGTAATAGATGTTATGTTCATGTCCTAAATAGAGAATCCATAATGTCTCCCCCTAGTATCTAAAAAGTCTATGAAAAAACTTGAAATAGCTCACTGCTCTCCTGTTTTGTGGTACCTGTGTGGGTATCCTTTTCTAAACAGATAAAGTATTTTCTCTAAACAACACTATGTGAATAAAACAACCGAAAACCCAGAAAGTGTTTTTAAAAGCAAGGATGGTATATCTTTTCCACCCTTTCCAACTAACGCATCTCTTTATATGCTGACAACAATAAAGGTCTAAGCAAATCTTCCTCCAGGGTTTGAATTAAAGGTGAAGGTTTTTCAGCACAAAGAACTGAAAGAAATTCAGGCACAGAGATTTTTATTAGTCCAGAGGTAAAAAGTAGCAGGAGGTAAAGGCGAGAAGGCCAGTTCATGCAATAAAAGGGAAACAAGCCTGCTCTTGCTGACGGCAAAGGGCCTCGTACCTGCGGTATGCCATACTTGTCAATGATCTGCCAAATATACCAGTCTTCTCTCCTGGAAGCCTTCCGGAATTTGAAGGTAGTTACAAAAGCATATTCATCAGGCAGACCTTGTGGGAACACATCTCTGGCATGGGGAGGGAAAAAGAGAGCAATGTAACAGGCTTAACGGTGAAGAGCAGGATTTCTAACAAAACTCTCTGAATGTCCCAGCAACGCTTCCCACGTATCATCCCTTAAAACCTCTGCTATATTGGAAACCTGTAGAGAGGTGAACATGAGCTTGTGCCCTCAAGGTGGCTCTGCCCATGAGGAGCCCTTCCCAGCTCCCATGGTGAAGCTCTCGATATAAGTAAGAAATGGGGAAAATCTAATTTGAATCCATCATGTCAAAAGCTGGTTTTCAGATGGGCTTCAATTCGTGCTACCTGTAAAATATTCTGTTTCTTCTCTAGATGCATTGGAAATCTGTAACATTGGGCTGGCATATCTGAAACTCTCTCTGAATGTACTAAATTGTAGCACTACCTCTTGTAATGTTTCCCCTCAAAACAAGCACTATGCCTCATGCTTGCCCAAGGCAATGTTCCTTGGCTGATGACCTGGGAGAACAGAAGAATCTCAAATCACACTTTGCAAATACATTTGGCAGAAATTTACTCAGTGTGACACTACGATCCACGCTTACGTTTGAAGTTGACTCAGCCCAACATAAGAACATAACATAACAATGAGCATACGCGGTTGGACAGAATGTACATTTAACCCAATATCTTGGGAAGGGGGTTGTCACTGGCCATAAGTGGATGCCTAGAAATGAAAACAAACAGAACAAACATATTCCCCTAGTCTCCAGCTCTTTATGATTCAGCGGTCAAATTCAGAGGCAACTAAAGTATAATAATTTTGTTAATAACTTTGTTAATAACTTTGTATGCTTTTCTCTTGCATGGACTTCTCCATTCTCCCCTTGAAGTCAAGTAAACTTATTGCATCCACAACGTTCTTTGGCAAGGAACTAATAAAGAGCAAAACAGTGAAGACAGATTTTCTTATGGAACACCTGACATAGTTCATACTACCTAGAAACTGGCATACGTAGCTCAGAGGCGCACAAAAGTAGAGGCTCTTACTGGCGTTTAAAACTAAAATCTCACTCCGCAAAATTTCCAAAATATTTTGTTTTGCATTTACAGCAAAGATTCAAAGCCATTCTATGTCAAAATGTCAAATGTCAAAATATTCAGTCATTTTTAAATTTGTGCTTTGAATTTCCTATCTTCTCGATGAAGTTAAAAAATCAGATTATTACTATGATTTGGTCCACTACCATGGCTTTTACTATATAAAACAGCCACACAGCCTACACACCATTATATGCTGTTCCCAGTGGAAGACACAGGTGCCCTCTGAAGTCTTCCAACACAAGAGAAATCTGAACCAGGCTCCCACTAGCTCTTTCACAAAATCCTTTACTTAGGAGAGCAGACAAGACTCCCTCACTTCTTGGTGCTAGTAATTCACAAACCACCCTTTCTCTGGTCACAGATCCACCGCACACCAGCATCCCTCTCCTCTGTGGCACACAAAATAGTCAGACCCTTTCTGCTTTCATGACAAAATAAGAGGCCTGCTGGTTGTCACTCTCATGGCACAGCTGCCATGGAGAATACAACCAGCATGATTGTGGCAGTGAAAGCCACCAAAAAAGACTAGGAGATTTTTGACAAGAGGCAGCCAAGTTGGTCGCATCAGTTCTCCCACCAGGGCAACCAGCCACATCTCCTTTACTTTTGACATATCTTAGTGTGAAGTTCCTTTTGAACAGCTACCTGACATGGTACACTCATTTTGTCTAAATTTGAGAGGAAGGGCATGCCTGGGCTTTTCATGTCACTGACAGACTGGGCTGTCCTACTCCAACAAGAAAATTCAGCATTGCTGACAGTAGCGATGTCAATGGTTAGAAAGACTGTACTCACGACTCCCTCCTCTCGAATAAAAATCATGGACTTTTCTACATGAGTGCTAGCAGTGGGGGGATTTCTCTGTGGCTCAGCGTCTAAGCACTGCCATTTCAGCACACATGCCTAGTGCGTTTATCTTCACTCACTCACTTCTCACCACGTATCTTTACAGTCACAGCTTCTTTTGCAAAGAGCAGTCGCCTCAGGTCTCCCTCTGATCATCTCCTCCCTGCCTGTTCCTCCCTGCCAGCTGGCTCTTCTTATTTCCAGGCTTCATCCCTTCTTCGCTTGCCTCCGTGCTGCCTTTCCTTCTCCATTTGTCAGTTTGAGAACCCTGTTGCTGCAACCTCTTTCCACCCCACTTGCAATTCAGAGCCCTAAATCGTTTTGATGGCTGACGTGCCCTTGCTGGCAGCTGGGAACAGCAGGAAGCAATCTAGTTTTACTGTATTTAATGAGTTCATTCTCCACCCAGTCCTTTCTGATCCTGACTTCCATTTTGGCCACAGACAGTCCCATTCATTTACTTCTCTAAGCTACACCCCACCACCAACACCAAGCTCCTACTTAATGAAAGCCAGACAGAGAAATGTTTCTGCAGTTAATCCAGTGGTGGCACAAGGTAGCATTGATAGCCCTGGGGATGCTTACCTGACCTCCTGATCTATAGCACATTTGCTATTGTCCCATCAACAGCAGCAGAGCACATACTTGCGATGCTGCCTTTTGCTAACACTTTTTCAACTCTGCACATGCAGATATGCATCATTCCAAGTATGAACTAAAGGCAGGGGCATTACTGCTCTGCTTAGCAGGAAGGTATAGGAGCACGTGGTTAAGGTAACCCCTCATGTTGATGTCAAGGCTGATTTTGGGCTTGACATCTACATCCAAATCTGGAAGAGCCAATTGCTGGCCTCTGTGCTAAGAAAGCCTGTGCAGCTCTCTGGATGTGTCCGAGTTGGGAACACGAACACCATCATGCAAGCTCAAATTCATAAAAGGCTTTTGGGTGCTTAACACCCACAGAAATAACTGGGAGGTAGGTACCTAAATATCCTTGTGGGCCTGCCAGCCTTATCACACAGAGGCTGACAAATGGTCCCTCACCTAGATCTGAACTGACAGAAAGCTATAATGACCTCAACTGATTTTTAAAGGTGCTGAGGAACTGGCTGCAAGTTCCAGACAGAGAAAGACTTTGAGCTAAAAGCAAATCTAAAGACACTTGTTGCTCTGAAGATATGATAAAAGCTGTTTCTGAAGTCCTTGGCCACGGCGACTTTTATGGAGCTGCATTACCACACAAATAACAACAACTCTGTTTATGAGTCTTCATTTATTTCCTTGCCAAAAAGTAATCTCCATGTAGAGGCTCCGCTGTACTTAGGAACCCAAGGGCAGGAATTCCCATACCCAGAAATGTTCTATTTCTCTCCGTTCACCCAAGGCTGAAATGAGCTGATGGTCCATGTTATGGAGCTTTGCTGAGTGGCTGGTACTACAGGGAGCTCTCTGCTGGCTCCTCAGTCTATAACTCTGACAACAGAATGGATTGCAGAAGAGCCCATTATAAAACCCTGAGACAAGAGAATCCCCTCCCCCAAACGCTGCAGGTTAGTCTCAGAGTTAATTAACCCAGCTCCAAGGTCAGGCCAGTCATAACTTCTAGATATAAAAAATGGTAATGACCAGGCAGGAAACTCTCTTAGCCTCTGCCCACTTCCAGAATACAGCCGCCTTCTTACAAGCTTTTGTTTGGCATAAAAGCCTGCATCTGTAATAATCAGCATAAGATCCTTCATCTGTAATAATAACACAATGGAGAAAAACAATATTGTCCGTTCTCATTTCAGTTACTGAATGGAACAACAATTAATAGGGTGCTTGCATTTGGTAAGGAAGGGACAAAATGAATAAGAAACACAAATGTAGAAGCAAAGGGAAAATCTCTGTTGGCTTGTCATTGATTCAATATGTGACCATTTTCAAAACACCTAAAAGCAACTAACAGTCAATGTCATTCACTGATGTCTGTGAAACAAGTCTGGAGAAAGACAGTTCATTTCCATATGAATCATATCACCAGAGGTTCTTAGAATGACAGGAAACAATGAAAAGCCTAGTAAGGACTTCAGGATATCTCCCTTCAAAGTCCTGCTGCAACACAGAATCAATGCTGCACATACATCCTTGGCAGACATTTGTTTGACCTCTACTTTAAAAACCTCAGTGCTGGGATATCTACACCCTCTCTAAGGAACTTCTTCTAGTGTTTCACTATACTTAGCACTACAGAACTCTTCCCAAAGCCTATCCTAAATCGTCCTTGCTGCAGTTTAAGCTTCCTGAAACAACTTTTCCCACAATGAATTATGAGAACAAATTAGTCTCTCTCCTTACTACGGCTCTTGGCTCTCTCTTCAGTCTTTACGCTCTAAAAGACTAATAAAGCCTTCACTCATTTCACCTAAGTCATGCTTATTCTTCTTTGCCTTGTTCTGAAGAAGGAGACTCAATGTCTCTATTTATCCTGGTAAATAATAATCAGGGCCAACTGCCCAGCCATGAGCACAGTTTAGCTAAACTCTCCCTTCCCAAGCAGAGAGATTGCACCCAAACTGCTGACTGGGAGTATGCTGACTTTATGCTCCACACTGGTCAGGCCCAGGCATCACTTGGGATAGCACTGGTTGGCATTAGCCAAAACTAACTTGACATGAGCACATTAACAACTGAAGAGTACAAACAATTGGAGTCTAATGCTGGGGTCTATGAACTTACTCTGTTTAATCTGCTTGCAGAGAAATAGCCTATGAGGAACTCCTTAGACAGGCTCCATATATGCATTCTGCTACTTAATTCATGGGGATGTGGACAGACATGTTTCTTCTTCCACAGTACAGAGCAACCCACATGACAATTCCTCTGACAAATGAGGTAATGAGATCAGAGACAGGCCATAACAAAGCCTTCAGATGGGATAACTGCCCTCACAGCCTCCTTAGAGCTTGGAGTCCTATGTCTCATCCCTGATTTCAGCACAGTAACTTGGCCTTTTTCTAACTCCAGCACCACAGGAAAGTCTGGGAAGGATCACAGACCAGGTCTGTCAGCTGCATCTGGCCTGCGGAAGAGAGGGAGAAAGGGAAAGACTGGGCTGGTAGAGAGGGGGAAGGAGGGTGCAGCATTGAACTGCAAATGTTCGAGCTGAAGCGAGGAGCAGGGAAGCATTCAGCAGTTCTGAATCATACAGGCTTCATATTCAGTCTATGACGTTTTTGGCAGCTTTAGGTAGAATTTTCCTCTCTGTGGAGCAGAGCAAATCATTAGACCAAGGCAGGACCTCATGAGGAAACAAAAGGCAGGTAACTGAAGCGAAAGGTAACTTGAGGTCAGCAGTGAAAGTCGCTCCAGCGCTCCAAGATATACACACTCAAGAACAAAAAAAGCTCAGGGAAGACAATGCTGTCCCAATACAAAGAGCAAACAGATCATGACTAGAGGCCAGGCCCAGTAACAGGAAGTTCCGTGAGGTGGAAGTAGGGATGAGGACCGAGCAACGCAGGAACTAGGTTAGGCAAGCTGGTGAAGAGAAGATCTAGGGGTGGACGTGACAGGACAAAGGCTCCAGAGTCAACATCAGGAGAAATATATGGAAGAGATACCAACATAGTGAGGCAGAGGCCAGGCAACCAAAACAACAGTGGACAGGAACAAGCCTAGTACCCAGAAACAGAAATCTGGAGCACACCTCTGGACGCTGAGGAGCTGAGAGAAAATGGTAGAAGAGCTTCACTTATCTGAGGACTGAGAAAAAGTGTCAGTCAGCTTTATAGACCCATCCTCAGCTCCCTAGAGAGACCTGTCAGTCTCTCAGTCACCAGGACACTCATTTTGGCCCTATTCCTGGCTGTAGCATTTGCCAGTTTGCAGACATAAAATCGGAAGACGAACAAGCACATTTCCTTGGCCCCTAAGCTGGCACTCAGTACAACTACTAGTGCTTAGATAAAAGGATATAAAACCTTCAAATAGATAATAAAGTCAAATAAATATATTACTCATTTAATAATTTGGGGGAGAAAGTCTAGAAAAAGGAAAACTCTCCCTTGGTCGAGGAGGATCAGGTTAGAGATCATTTAGGCCAACTTTACACCCACAGGTCCATAGGCCCTCATGGGATACACGCACCAGTGCTGAGGGAGCTGGCAGATGTCATCGCTAGGCCACTCTCCATCATCTTGGAAAGG